TAACTGCTTGTAGAATTTTGTTCTTCTGTTGGGTTTCTGGAATCTTTAACTATTATATGCCTTTGTGTAGATTTTTTTGATCAAGACTAGTTGGAGTCCTATATGCCTCACATATCTGTATGTCAAGTTCTTTTCCCCTGCTTGGGAAGTTTTCTGCCGTCACTTCTGTGAACAGTTTGTTTTTTTTTTTAATGTCATTGGTACTCTCTCCTGTTTCTTCATTGACTCTGATCAGTCTTATGCTATTCTTCTTTACATCATCTAGCAGATGCGGGATTTATTTCTTGTGGTCCCTTACAATTTTCTAGCAATTTTCCTTTTCCAGGTTACTAATTGCAATCTTATCTTCTGTATCTGAAATTCTGTCCTTACATTGACTCATTCTGCTGTGTACACTTTCAATGGAGTTTTTTTTTTTTTGTACCAGGGACCAAACTCAGGACCTTGCGCTTGCATGGCAGACGCCCGAACCACTGAGCTAAATCCCCGGCTTTTTCAATAGAGTTTTTAATCTCCTGGAAATCTATTTGCATCTGTTTTATGGACTCCATTTGTTTTCTATGTTGGGATTCCATCATGTCCCTCAGCTCCTCTTTTGTTTTTTATCTGTGTATTCTCTAGATTTATTAATCATGTTTTACACTATGGGCACAATCTCTGCTGTTACCTGAGAAATTATTTCTGATTTCATTTTTTCCAGGTCCTCTTTTGTTGCCGGTTCAGGCAGTCCAAGTGGTTGAGTATCAGATTGTTCCATCTCATTTCCCTTTGGAGTTGCTGTAGGTGATCTGGAAGTCTGCATTTGAGTGTTATTTATGTGTCTTCTCATTTCAAAGGGGGAGTGGGGAGGGATGTGTGGTGCTGGTGCCCTTGAAGCTCACCTCCTTAGTGCTGCGGACAGTGGTATGGTGGCCCATAGTGTTCACTTCCTCTGCACTGGGGGCAGTTCTGCTCCTCAGCACTGGGGGAGGTGGTACTGAGGCTGGGAAGGTACAATAACCAAAAATTAAGAGAAAACATTTAAATAGTCTGACTCCATAATACTAAACATGAAAACTTCTAAAGTTTGGTAGTTCATGTTATTTGCTTAATATTAAAAATGAGTATATATGTTAGTCCACAGAAAGAAGAAAAGAAATGAACATAAGTGTGCTGTTTCTCAAATATTAAAGCATCTAAAATATTTCATACATAGAAATTATTTTCTTCATCTTTGAAAAAGAACAAAGAGTAAATGCAGTTAGATGTGTCACAAAAGAACAAGTTGATTCCTCTGGAACATTACGTAGATGGTATTCATTATTTCCAGGCAAATTTGTGTAAGTGAAATTATCAGCCAAGCATTTGTTGATATCACACAGTGATTTGTGGATATCAAAACAGGAACACCTCTGTTCAGACAATAAATTCCTTTGGAGGTTTATTAGAATAAGAGAAATTTTAAAGAGGATTAGAAGACAATCTTCAGCAGGAGACAAATTGACATATAAAATATAGTCATTAACATTCTTCAGAGATGAATATGAGTTAGAAAAACTAGTAGAAACAAGGCATTCTGATCTCTGCTGAGGGCCTCAGAATTATATATTAAAACCATTGTCTCAAAGACTAGATGCATTATCTATAATTATTTTACTAATAGGTTTATTTCCAGCAAAATAATTTATAGATCCTTATCTCCCCAAATAAAAAACATGTGTTTTGTCTAAATGAACATATAATATTAAAAGAAACTTAGAATTTTGACTTTTTTTCTAGCAAAATGAACAGTATTTAACACTTGAGACTCAGGCTAGATGATTTACAGTTGAATCTCTCAAATGGCAATGGGGGGAGGATTCTCCCATAATTCTTGCCCCACACCACCCCATCCCATTTTCCCCCTCTGAAGGGTACACATCCAGGTGAAGGGAACCCTCATTGACTCTCTTTCATGCAGCCCTCAGGACATTTTCAAATGCCATGTTCTGCCCTGGAAGATGTGGCTCCATGAACAGGGCTACCTCCATTCCATGAGCTTTCCTTTGGTTTTCTATACTAGGCTGTGAATTTTCTAGCACTTCCTCTGTGAATTGCTGCTGCCTGGAAGGCTCCTCTTATATTCTCTTCTGCCGTTCTTTCTTTCATCCTTCAGATCAACAGCACCCTTAAAAGTACTGGTGTGAGAGAGCAGATAAATTGTTGTTTCTCTTCCCCAGTGTTTCCAAAGCAGCAACATTATAACCAAATTTCAAGGTAACCTGGTGACGTAGCAGTGATTAAACTAAAATGAAAGTAGGTTAGAGAAAGTAGTCTGAAACCAAGACTCTGACTACCCAGAAGGGAGTTTTGTTGTGTTGCTTTTTCATTTGCTCCCTTTCCCACATCATAACATGGGCACATCATCCCTCTCTCCTGGAACACACCAAACCCAGCCCTCTTCCAGCTCCTTGCAGGATTTCTCCAAATTTTGGATTCTTCCTTCTCCTCTGCTCAATGCCATCTTTCTATCATTTTTCTCCAGCTCCTGAATCCCAGGCCATGAGCTTCCACCTTTGAGGAGAGAAAAGGTAAGGATATCTTTTTTATTTGTTTGTTTTTGGCAATGCTGAGGTAATTCTCCCATGTTCCAAGTGAAATGACAGATGAAAACACTCAGGCACTCACTTCCCTGCAGGAGCATGATATTGATTTCTGGATCTCTCCTTTCTCATTTCAAACTTCCCTTCTCATGTGTTCTGTTTGTCTTCAGTTTCCTTGCTCTCAGTCAGTTCCTTCTATGTCCTGGATATCAGATGCAGTGTTTCTCTCGGTTTGGGCCTCCTTTTACATACATAACATATAAAGCATTTTGCAGCGGTTTGATTTGACTTAATATTCAGTAGAAATGATTTCATAAATAAAATTATAGTACTTTTTTTCAAAGCACAGTTTAGGTTCAAAATAATATTACACTGGAAGAAAAATGAGTATATGTTTATATATGCCCTCGGAATGTTCCATATATTTTTAATACAAGTTATTTTATTTTCTAACTTTGAGATTAATGTATTCCAATACTTGGAAACTAAAATGTGACAGAATCACTCTTGATTTTCTACTTGAGAACTTATCTCCATTACATACATTGGCTTAGATTGCTAATCATTAAAAACAAACAAATATTTTTCTCCTGGTTGGTAAGTGTCAGACAGTTGCCTGGCATTTATAGGTTTGGGGACAAAAGAAATAGGTTAAAGGAGGGAAGACATGGTGTCAAAGACATTGGTTGTGCTGTGGAGGACTCATAATTTAACAAGCCATGAGAGAAAAGAGACAAACATGTAAATAAATCATTTTACTTCCACTCATTAATTGTTGCAATAAAAGTAGATATAAAACTGTGAGATGGTAATTGCCAGGGAATGACCAACTGTGGCTCAAGCAACCAGGAAATGCCTCATAGATGAACCTAATGATTATGATGACTCTGCTGTACTTTGCACCGTTGTTTAAGATTCATGCCCAATCTAATCCCATATGATCTAATCTCTTTATTGCTCAAAGCTCTCTCCATGGGGAAGATGAAGGAGGGAAGTGAAGTGAAAACTGCTTCAGCCACCTTCTGCCCTGGGACTGTGGTCCGCTTAGTCTTTGTTAAAGTTTCTGTATAGCACTTATTGTAGAAGAGAAGGTTCATGCTCAGAGAGGCTATTGCAGACAGCCCTCAATAGGGAGATCCTGGACAGCCCTTCAGTTTGAGGTTGGGAGAAGACAGCCTGTTCCCTGAGCACATTCCTTGCTGGTAAACCTTTCCACTTCCTTCATTTCCTGCTATGTGCAGACTGCTTAGCTGAGCAGACTGACCGAATGACAGGAGGAGGGCTTGTGCTCATTGCCAGAATAAACTCGCATTATGTGCATCATCCGTCTTTCCCAGAGGTTTCTGCCAAACCAACCCCATTTATTTCTTATACTGGAATGTTTCTTGAATTTGACTTTTCAGACTATTGTACCCATCCAGATAAACCTTACCCTGGGCCTACAACATCACAGTGCATGTGAAGGCAATTTGTCAATTGCTAAACCAGGAATGACTCAATGGATAATTATCATCTTTAGCTGTAGAAACTCTCCTTCGAAGTCAGTGTAAACCATGCATATTTAGTCTAGTAAGATAAAAATATCATTTTGCAAATCACCTTTAAAAAGACTTTCTTTGCCTTGTTTCTCCTGATGGCCACACATGCATGAGCCAGGCCCTGAGGTGTCTACTGACTCACTAAGCACCTTTAAGGGGGAAAGCATTTTCCAGGGGTTTGCCTCTCAGCAGTCTCTGACACCTCCCTGTGGCTTCCTGGGGCTGGACTGGGAGCTGCATTCTTCCTTTTGCAAGTTATCATTCCATGGAAAGGACAAGTGTGTATCACATTTTTATTTGGCCTTCCATTTGTCTTTCAATACATTTTCAGTCTCTTTCAGACCAATTCAAATTGTTTATTTTCTTTCAAAAAGAACAAAAATGCCATCCTTAGCTTGTCTTGTCTAAGCCTGTCCCTTTTCCTACTAACGGTACTTCAATTGCTAAAGAAGGGTTTATGTTTCTACATGTGTTTTTGAGTCAGGGACCTCAGTAGTTAACATTGTAAGATAACTGCTGTAGCTATTCAGGAAGTGGAGAACATTAGTAAAATTCCTTTCATTAAGAAGAACAAATAAAAATAAAACAGCATATCTTTTTAATTTAATTTTGTGAATACAGAGATTTTTCATTTATTAAAGCCAAATAGAAGCCCTTCTAAAAAATTCTAAGCCAAATTAATTTATATTTTATTTACTTTGGGTCATGTATGATACTTGAAGCAATAGTGTATCAATTGTCAACTCTCTGATTCATTGTTCATTATATTAATAACATTTTATCTGTTGGATCAAAATGCCTGTTAATATTTATATATTTTGATTTTTTAAAAAAAGGAAGACATTATTGAAGGAGTAGGACATTTTACACTAAATTTCTTCTCTCTCAGTATTTTGTCTCTTTATCTACTTTTTCAGTGAAATGTGTTTTAAAAGCTCAACAAGAACCAATTTCTTTCTTAGAAACTAAGGATTAACTTTTTTTTTTTTTAAACAGGTCTTGCTATGTAGTTCAGGCTGGCCTTGAACTCACTGTGTAGCCCAGTCTGGGCTTGAACTTCCAGCACCGCTACTGCCTCAGTCTCCTGAGTGCTGGGATTACAAGTGTATGCTGTCAAACCCCACTAGAATTAACTTCATGAGAATTAATTTTAGTCTTTTCTTAATTAATGTAACACATTGAGTAACTTTCCTTAGAAGAGAACGTTTTATTATTTTTATCTTTTTTCCCCTATAGGTACTATTATGGACCAAATGTTTACGTCCCACCCACTCATTCATACGTTGAAATCTTATCTGCCAATGTAATACTAGGAGGGGCTGTTGGTAGGTGATTAAGTCCTGACAGTGGAGCCCTAATAAGTAAGATTAGTGTTCTTATATGTGAGAACTTTTTGATCCCTTTCTCTACCATTGAGGATACAGCAAGAAGACAGTCATCTAAAAACCAAGAAACTGGTTTTCACCAGAACTTTACCATACAGGCATCCTGATTTCAGACTTCCAGCTTCCAGAAATGTGAAAAATATGTCTCTGTTGTTTAAGCCACTTAGACTATGGAACATCATAATATCACTCTTCTGGTCACTACACTATTGCCAATGTTTCAAATGTAAAGGAGATTTAAAAAATTATACCCAGAGACCCTTGGAGAGGTGTCCTGTGTGAACTAGACAATGTCACCATTTATGGCCAACACAGATATTGCTACATGAGCAGTTCGTAAAACTCCATACTAAATTTTTATATCTTCCTGTTCTTTCTAATTTCCTTCCTTTTCCCTAGGAGCATTTGCCTGAAGTCCTGGTCCTAATCTCCTAAAGGTATTGGTAAGCAAATTATGAATAGAATATACAATATACTAATTTGAACATTAATATTAATGAACCAACTTGCTTCTTTAACCATGCAATATCTGCATTTTTAACCAAGGTTTTAGATTTTCAAATCAGATGAATGGTCAGTGGGAGAATATTCGATTCTTATATCCTGATATCTATGGTTACAAACAGAATCAAAATTTTAAACCTTAAAAAAGTTGAACCAATTTAGCCTTGGAGGAAGCTTGTGTTCACAGTTACTATGGACTGCCACATCCTCTTTTTCCTTTTTTTCAATCATTCATCCATCAGTTCATTTCATACTGTTACTGTTTCTACTTTGTGTCTAGCACTGTGTGAGGCATGTATTAAGGAACATGACAGTCAGCTTTAAAGAGTAAAAGGATTTTTGCTCTAATCTATCAGGGTGCTAATAATTTAGGATCTGCATTGCTGTTTCACCATCATAATATGAGTTTTCTCACAGTCCTACAATGTTGGATTTGCCTTATATCCAGATGACAGTCATGAGCCCAAGCAGAGAGCAGAGGGAAAGACTCAGGCAAAGCACTGGAAGTGGAGGACCAAAGAGATGTCAACTAACCCTTTCCCTTAAAAAACCTTTTATTGTAAACTCCACTGGGAAAGTTCCAACCAAGTTTTTACTGGCCATATCTGGGTCATATGTCCACCTTTAATCAGATTAGTATTTTAGTTGGTCACATCTACACGGAACAAAATCTAGGTTCTGTTACCATGAAAGAGGGAGAGAGTGAATTCAGCAGAGGAAACTCTCCATGTGTGGCATAGGAATATAACTAACGGGAGAGCTGAGGAAGGCACATTCCCTGCCCACCACCACCTTTATTAAGATATAGCTAACAAACACACTGAATCAGCCCAGTGATTGTGTTTTACTCCATCCTAAACATGTCAGGCATAGTTCCATAGTTTACAAAGAAAATAACAAGCCCAAAATATCATGGAGAAGTTTTATTGGAGGGTTGAGACAGGAATTGATAAATGGTCAATTAAAGCACAGGAAGAACAGTATGCATCTGCCCAAAGAACTCCTCAAAAGAATTCTGAAGCAGTCTGGTGAACAGACAGGTGAAACAAGAACCTGCTAAGAAATCAGGAATACCAGTAAGATATCAAGTAGTCTGTTTTAGTTACTTTTCTAATTGCTGAGACAAAATACCTGACACCCAAAGTTAAAGGAGGAAAGGTTTATTTAGCTCACAGTTTGTAGTAGTTTTACTCCATAATCAGCTGGCTCCAAGGCAGGGTGGCATGGCAGACAGGGATTGCACAAGAGAAATAGTTCATGGTGGGCAGAGGGTAGCAAAGCAAGTGATGGGCCTTAGCAGTTTATTTTTCTGTACCTTTTATATTCTATCTAGGCTACTAGGATTTGTGCAGGTAAAAAACCAATCAGTACAATGATTTATACTCATGCACCTTTAATCATAACATCCTTAAATCTAGCATTGTACCATGAATCAGTTACAAACTCTAGATTCAGCAACCTCTGAAAAAGTGCCACCTATGACTGCACGAGGCTTTGCGGGGACAATTAGATACAAGCCATAACAATGTCCTACCAAAGAAGACATGAAAACAAAACACATGTCCAATCAGTGTAAATGATATTTGTGTATGGAACATGCTGTTCTCATGTGTGCAAACTGCCTTAGGAGTTATAATTGAAGTAAAGATTATTTTGTGGCAGGAATTTATTTGCATTTTCATTGTAGTCTACATAAGAATTTATTTCTACTGTTATTTTTTAGATTTAGTAATCAAATACAGTTGATATAGAAAATGTTGACGTTTATTTTAAACACTCAGCATATATTTGATGTTTTATTTTATTGATATTTCATTTTTCTTCTAAGTGCACATTGAATAATAGGAAGCTCTTGACAAAAGAGAAAGACAAGAGAGGTGACAAATATGGCCTGCAAAACAGGAAAGGAAAACTAATCACAAGTGCTGTCAGCCCTACCGAGGTCCTGAGTCGCACAGAACACGCCAGATCACCCCGCTGCAGACAGGCAGGTCTGCCCACGCCCTACCAAGATCCTGAGTCGCATAGAACACGCCGAATCAGCCCACTACAGACAGGCAGGTCTGTGCACGCCCTAGCGAGGTCCTGAGTCACCCAGAAGATGCCAGAATCAGCCTGCTGCAGACAGGCAGGTCTGTGCATGCGCTACCGAGGTCCTGAGTCACACAGAACACGCTTAATCAGCCCGATGCAGACAGGCAGGTCTGTGCATGCCCTACCGAGATCCTGAGTCATGCAGAAGATGCCGAATCACCCCACTGCAGACAGGCAGCCACTTGGTTCCATACTACAAAGATGCAGAGGACACCAGACCACCAGACCAAGGTACTGAGTCCCACGGTTCCCGGCCGAGAGGTAGGGGCATCTGAGCCGCCGTCCCACTGCTCCTGGTCCAGAGGAAGGGGCTTCCCGGTCACCATCCCTCCTGCTGCTCCCAGGCCAGAGGAAAGGGCTTTTGGGCCACCACCCCTCCCACCGCTCCCGGCCCAGAGGTAGGGGCTTCTGAGCCACCATGCCACTGCTCCTGCTCCAGAGGAAGGGGCTTCCCGGCCACCATCCCTCCCGCTGTTCCCAGGACAAAAGAAAGGGCTTTTGGGTCACCATCCCTAC